CCCCCCCACATCCATCAGTCCTCAGTTTTTGTCAGCATTCAAGAGTCTCTCATGGTTTGCCTCTCTCCCTTTCCCCCACCATTTCCGCCCTTCTTCTCTCCCTTGTTCCTCTGCCAAGTTCCTCCTAATCCTCCTATAAGTGCAAACATATGATATTTGTCTTTCTCTGCCTGACACAAAGAAATAAATTTTTTTACAAAAAATTCTAGGACTCCAGTTTTAAATTCAGAGTCAAGACATAATCTCTCCTTTCTCCTCCTAAAAAAAAAAACCAAAAGAGAAATATGAAAGCAAAATACAAACAAAATGAAACAATCATCTGTAATGTCAAAGCATAACATCAGAAAAGAACCCCAAAAGTAGTGGAGATCAAACACAGGCTCTCAACAACCCTGTCAAAATATACTCAAGACTACAGAAGCGCTCTGGTGCCTAGTTCTCTGCAATTAACCAGCATATCCTGAAAGGCAAAACCAAAAATCTTCCATCTGACATCAGGAACAAAGACACAACGTAGGAATTTTCTTGGAAGGAGAACTCAAGAAGCAAAAGAAGTGAGAATGAAGAAATCATACAAACTTTATTTCAAAGAAAGCAGCTAGTGAGGCAAAGTTGGGACAAATTCTTCATAGTGATACTCTATACTGAAGTCTTTTATCTGGGAAGACAGAAAGGCTAAAAGAAATTTTCACACACAGCCTGAGGAGAACAGCACTTAGCATTGGTCCTTCATTATCAATCTCCAGGCAAAGAGGAACACCCTCACTGATTGAGTACTTTTTAATCAGTACTAATAGGAGTACTGATTAAAAAGAAAACAGAGTCAGGACACCTGGGTGGCTCAGTCAGTTAAGCATCCGACTCTTGGTTTTGGCTCAGGTCATGATCTCATAGTTTCGAGGAGTTCGAGCCCCCTGTCTGGCTCTGCACTGGCAGCAAGGAGCCTGCTTGGGATTCATTCTCTCTCTTTCTCTCTCTCTCTCTCTCTCTGCCCCTCCCCTGCTTGTGCTATCTGTCTCTCTCAAAATAATTAAACTTAAAAAAAATGTTTTTTTAAAGACAAAAGAGTCTATATAAGATACATGAAAAAGGAAAACACAAAAAACAAATGACACGTGAAGAAAAATCACCAAAAAAAAGATTGTCAAAGAGCAGACAAAAATTGTGATTAAAAAAATATCACTATGATTTTTAAAATCCTTATAGCAGTCATTTCTGGAAAAATAAGAGCAAAGCATAGAGCTCACAAGAAAAGCTCAAAGAAAAGACCACAGAACAAGATCAAGTATGACCCAGCAATACCCAAAAGACAAGCTGCCAAAATACAGTAAGAGACACAGTCTAGGACGGAGAGAAGTGTAAAAAAAAAAAAAAAAAAGTAGAAATAAACCAAAACTTTTTTCTTAGGATTAAAATATGAAAGACAAAGACAATAGGCAAAGATTTAGTAGATACTTACTTGATACTCATTATTTCAATTATTTTAAGGAATAAATCTCATGACTGAAAAGACATGCTTAATCCCAAGAAATATTGGTAGAGGATACAGGAGTCAAGGCCAAAACCATATTAAATTTACTGCTGAACTTAAAAGAAACTGAATCCTTTGATGTTTGTATGGTAGGGTGGACACTGGAAAAGTCAATAAATAAACATTTGGGTGGGTTGCCCAAAAGATGTTTTTATTGTGAGAGCAGTCTGACAAAACTACATGAAAAGAATGCAAAATTCAGTGTGTTCTTAGCTCTATCCAGCTGAGTAAAGAATGGTGAAGCAAGCATGAAAAATTCTTAAGGAAAGAAAGTAAAACCCAGAAATATTATACTTCACCAAATTATTATTCATATATAATGACAAGAAAAAAGCATTGTAACTTGCCAGAACCACAGAAATACTTTCTATGAGCCTTTCTTGAAGAAATTCCAGGAAAAATAAATTCAGCCAACCAAGAGATGAATACAGAAACCATGGCAAAAGAACTGTTATCAAGCCTCGAACTGACCATTAACCTGCAGAATTATGACTAAAACATGAAAATTATAGTCACAAAGCAAACATTAAATATTTTAAGTATCTGATACATAAATGCTATCCCTAACAAAAGTTGAGGGGGGGGAAAAGGAGAAAGGATTGGAAAAAACTTAAGTAGGCAAACCTTCTCCTGTTATATAGCAGAGTCAGAAGAGTTAATAATTTAAAGTTGGAAAATCACATTAATTGAGGCAAAGATATTTAAAGGTCAACACTAAAAATGATCAACTAAAATAATCAAATCAAATAGTTTCTTACTAATTAATACATTAACAGTTAAGATTTTTGAGCAAATACTTATGCTAGGAACTCTAAGTACCTACTGTGTATTATTTTATTTAATATTCAAAACCTGATTATCATTCCCATTTGAGAGAGGAGGAAACTGAGGCACTGGGGTTAAGTAACTTATTTCAGGCCAAACAAATCTCAATGTGGCAGAACTCAGATATGAATCCACGAAATCTGACTCTAGAACCCAGGATATTAACCTAATATAAAACACAAGTATCTTGTAGCTTAAACATAAAGGCACATGAGTGCACATGCACACGCACACGCTCACACACCACATAACATCTCCTCTTCAACTCTGCAACCCTTCTAGCTTTTACTGTATTTTCCACTCCCCATCTAAGGTATTCAGAGCAGACACTGTACCCTTTCCTATTCATTCAATTATCTATAGTCTAGTACTTCAAACTGCTTTCACTGAGGATATCAAATCCAATTTTTTAATCCTTATCATCCTTCATGTCTCTAAAGCATGCCACTGTTGACTTTTCCCCTCACCAGTAATCTCTCTACCCTCCCTAAGTGTCTGTGATTCTGCTGTCTCCCTGGTGTTGATTCTCCTCCTACTTTTCTTTAGTACCCTTTGTGGTGGCTTTCCCTGCCCTTTAAATGTCAGTGGTTCTCAGGGTTCACTCTTGAATTTTCTTAGCACTCCCCACATTCTCTCTGGTCTAGCATACATCCACCATGTGTATTGTTGATAGTGGATTACTTTCCTAAATCACACCCATTGCCATCTTTTTTCAACTCCAGAGAAATGTATGTTCAACTGTGAAATGAATATATCCACTTCAATGACCCAAAGGATGCCTAAAGCAACTTCCCAAAATTTTTCACAATCCTCTACTCTTTCCTCCTCTGCAAATGTTCATAAATACCATGGTCACCACAATTTATCCAGTTACTCAAGAGCAAAAACAAGCATTCATTCTAGACTTTTCTTTAGCCACCACATCTAACTGGTCAGCAAATACTCTAACCCCTCCATTTCCATCCTATGCTGGTGTTCCTTCCTCTGAAATAGTCGTTATTAGAGGTGGGGATTTATTTATATCTGGAACCTTGGTATCTATTAAAAGTCTGATCAAGACAGTTTCTATGACAGGAAAATGGAGACACTAAACTTATTTTTGCAAATACTGGGGACCTACAAAGACACTGAGTCCCTGCAGATGAGAACAGAACCACTCTATGAGAAACCCAGAACAATTAGATTTTGGAACAAAAAGTTCCAAAGGTGGGGGAAAAACGTGAAGCTGCAAAATACACACAAAACACTATCTTTAAGAGTCCCCAACTTCTTCCTTGGCCTGCCTAAAGCAGCTATCAAGGCGAAGCTGATTTACCTCCCAGTCTCTAGAGTTCAAAGCTATCTCAGACAATAAAATAACTACTCTTGCCCCCTTAAGCCACTACACCAACATCCTTAGAAGAGAACACTTAAAGCAATTATTTTCAATTTTAAAAAGCAGTAATTTCAAACATTAGGTTGTAACACAAACTTCAGCTGAAGGCTTTTCCCTTATCCCCACAAATAGCTATGAACTCTAAGATAGATATACTTACCCAATTAAAATAAATCAAAGGCCAAATTCTTCAATCAAGAATTTCAAGAAAGCTTCTTGCAACAGAATAATCAGATATTGTGACCAAAGTCACAGAGTTACAACACTCAACCTGATTACCCTGGAATACCTTGCTTACACTGAGCCACTGGTGACACCACATAGAGACCATCCAACAAGCATAATGTACTGTAAAATGCCAGACTTGTAAAACTCATCGTCAGTAGATACTTGGAGGTATAGACGGACTTAATATGCTATGATAAATGCTATGACAAAAAAAAGTCTAGATGGTTATGAGAAGGAATAGCAGAGAGAACAATTTAGACTGGGAATTCAGATTAGCTTTACATAAGGAAAAGATACAGCAACAGAAACTAGGAGACTACTAAAGGTAATCAGGTGAGAGGGATAGCCTGGACTTGAGGGGACTTTAAGAAATAAAAGGAAAGCCACGAGGAAAGCCATTCATGGTTTTAAAACAGGTAAGTGGTTAGGGGGAGGGAGGGAGGGAAGGAGTGAGGGTGGATGGGTGGGTGTGTGTGTGTGTGTGTGTGTAAGTAACAGGAACAGTTAAGTCCACATCTGTGTGTGTGTGTGTGTGTGTGTAGAATAAGAACAGTTAAGTCCACATCTAATACTGAATATCAGACAGACACCACGTCACCTTATCTCACACAAGTAACATCTGAAAACTTGTCACCTTTCTAACATGACATAGTATACATGATAAAATAGTGAGCCTGACCCACAAGAAATTAAATATTAACTCCATGGATTGTTTTTATTAGTCAGTCATAGCAGTGATTCTACTATCCAAATCACTTATTTTAGAAAGACCATCTCTCTCCCTCTCTCCCTCCTTCTCTCTCTCTCTCTCTCTCTCTTTCACACACACACACACACACACACACCCAGCAAAGATTCCCAGGCTTTCTGAAGTAGGCTACCTTCAGTCACAAAAACATTCCATGTATTCTATCCAGAAATCGCCTGACCTTTCCTCCAGAGCACAGCAAAGCAAAGCACAGTGTTAAGTGCCAAATGACTTTAAAGCCTTATAAATCATCTTACTATAAGCACTTCACTTTCGTCAGACACCTCACTAAATAAATGTATTGAATAGTGTGGATATATGAAATAACTTCTGAAGCCATTCCAGAACTTTTCAATATGACTATGCGCTTTGGAGTATGAATGATGGGAATGAATTTATTCCTCTAGCAAAAGTCTTATTTGGTGAACTTCTAATCACTGATCCCAAATATGCCCATAATAAAAAACATGCTTACCTTCTTTAAAGCATCCTGTATCACACCAGACTTCTCTTTTAGCAAGTCTACAACACAAAGGGCCTCATCTTCAGAAAATATCATAGTCTTTAAGGACAGAAGAAAATCTTTAAATTTCACTTCAGCATTTTCTTAAAAAAAACAAAAAAAAAACAAAAAAAAAACAAAAAGAAACCAGAGTTGGTATTTAAGAGACACAAGTAATAACTTCAGCAAACGTAAGCATCAAGAATTCTTGACCCAGAAAGTCAATAACCAAGAGAAAATAGATTTACATTTCAGACAATAAAAAATGCTCCAGTCAAGAGAAAAAAAAAAGTGTTTATAATCTTTAATATACTATGGAACAATTATATTAACTAAAATTTAATCAAACTACAGAATACTAAAGTGCCAATATGCCCTCACTTTCCAAAAAAAAAAAGTCATTCCACTGTCTAGTACACTAGTATCTATACCAGATATGTTCACGAATATTCTCATTTAACCTTAATACTCATGACATACAAATCATATCTTACAGATGAGAAAATAAGCATGAAGATAATTATAAAAAGAAATATATTTTTTAAAAAAGGAAATATTATTTCACAAATATCAAATACATACAAACAATCCTGACATTTAAAAGAAAATCCAGGCATCAAGCATCCCAATTCACTCAGTTTCCTCGGGGGCTCTTATATAAGCCACAAACTTCTTTTCTTAAAAAGCAACTGCCACCCATTAGACCCAAAGAAGCCCAAAGCTTTAATAGTTCGGCAACATCATAAGTTTAAAAAGTCAGTTGTGTGCATGTGTGAGAGCAAGGTATGGGAACTCTCTGTACTTTCCACTCAATTTTGCTATGACGCTACCACTGTTCTTAACAACAACAACAACAACAACAACAACAAGTCTATTAAAAAACAATAATGAAAGGTGGCTGTGAACTAGGATAGAAACCTCACAAAAGACAATAGGAGGAGAGAAAAAAATCGTCAGACAGCAAAATAGCTGTGAGATCTTAGGCAAGTCAAATTCAAGGGTCTGGACTCACAAAACTTGGCAGTTGGACTAGAACATTACCAATAAACCTTTTATTAGAAAGCTTCTATTATTCTTTTACCATTCATTGTTTCTATGAGAAAATTTACTCAACTCCACCAGAACTCAAAAATGAGCTTCTTCAATACAAATTGTTGCATGTTGCATATTACCTTTGTCAGTTTCAGTCTTCAATTTTTTAGCCCCCATTTTCAGGATTCCTTCTACTTGGTCAGGTTTAATTAGATCAATAACATCTCTCTTCTCCAGCACAGGATTTGGATCAGCATTATCCATCAAAGGCATATAAGCAGTTGCATGAATAAGGGGTTCATCTACTAAGACTGCAATTTAAGTTCAACAAAATTAGAATTACTCAGGGTTTTTACAGCACAGTAATTAAATAACATGTACACAAATTTATGTTTAATGAGAAATGCAATTATTTTGAAATATCTAACATCAAGTCAATTTGGCTTTATATTCCTGTTTTATCATTTAACAAATCAAAACATACTTCTAATTAAGCAGTTCAATATTATTTTACAGTAAATCATTTAAGTTATCTGAAAGTGTATCTCTCTAATAGTTATCTGAAAACTTCTTATATCCTTTATATTTTAGTTGGTTCTCATTTTCTTCCTGTTTTAACTAAAAATCCATTCACATTTAATATTTATGTTTGTATTTACTGAATTCTTAGTGCAAATGATAGCTTTTAACGGAGTTCTTTCCACTTTCTAGGTACAAAAATCAGTCCTTGTTCTTTGCAGATATCATCTCATTTCTAAAAGTTATGCCTGTAATTTCCATGGCAATCTTACTGAACTGGTTAAAATTTGCATGACAACATTAAAAGCGGAGGAAGGAAGCCCCCTTACACTTTGTTCCTACTTCTAATGGGAAGAACTTTAAGAGTTTGAACATTAAAGTCTGATGTCTGCTGGCTAAAGATATAAACTTCCATACACATATGGAAATCTATCTTCTGACCTTTTTAAAAAAGCTTTTGGGCATGAATAGTCTTTTATTTAAAAATCTGTAACAAAAGGCACCTGGGTGGCTCAGGGGGTTAAGCAACTGACTTCGGCTCAGGTCATGATCTCATGGTTCATGAGTTCAAGCTCCGCATCAGGCTCTGTGCTGACAACTCAGAGCCTGGAGCATGTTTCAGATTTTTGTGTTGCCCTCTCTCTCTCTCTCCCCCCTCCTCCCTGGCTCACAGTGTCTCTCAAAAATAAATAAGCATTAAATTTTTTTAATTTATAATAAATATTTGATTTTATCAAATACTTGTGGGTAATATTTTTATATACCTACTTGCTTGATACATCCTAATTTTACTGTAAATAATAGAATTTCATCTTTTCACGTTCCAATTTTACTATTTTCTAGCACTAGTTGATACCATAGCCCAATATTATTTGACTATCACCACTTAATCTACACACATTTCACAGAGGTTTTCCTTGAACAATTCTGAACATATAAAAACTTCTCCATCACTCTTAATTGAAGCTTCCCACACACACATGCAAACAATGTTTAGAAAATTGGGAATATAGAGTAATGATATACCTAGCCAAAAAGCATAATCTTTTAAGTGATATTTCAAAGTACAAATGTTTCAGGAACACTTTTCTTCTATATTTATGTGCTATTTACATTATTTTCAAAACTCAGTTGAGAATATTTAATAAATGCTTTGTCCTTTTTAAATTTCAGATAAACTTCATCACAAACATATACCCTGGCCATCTGTCAAAGCACTATGAAACCACAAGAGATCCCTGGACTTCTTTTAGCATTAACATTGTTACAGTACACGTTAAAGAGGGAATTAAAGAGTACGTGAGTTCTAGGATCCTTGTCCTAACTGTACTTCTCTAGAATTAGTATTTATATAATACATTATCTACACAGTTCACCGTTTTCTGTCTTTTGCTTCCTTGAAGAAACTTTCTTCTTTCCTGATCCACTTTCTTGTTTAGTCTCTTGATGGATGGGTAATGATTCTTGCTTTTTTGAAGGTGCCATAAGAGTTTCCACCTTTTTATCCTGATCATCTTTATTGAAAATAAATGAAAAGTCATCATAGCAAACAATGAACACACCAGAAGATTCAATTACTAGTAAATAATTCACAGAATTCTTTACCTTCAAAATTTCAAACTCTAACAGCATCATTTTAGCTTTCTCACTCTGTTACACTTACCTTTAACTTCATCAAGACTTCTAAAATTACTTGTTGCTTCTTTTATAGCCCATTTCTCAGCCACTCTTAATCCTACTCAGGCTATAGGCATGCTTAAATCCCCATCACCTTAAAAAATAAAACCCTCCCCACCACTATAATTCCTAGCCTTTGATACACATTTCGTATATTAACAAAAGAATGATTAGTACTTCTATTTCTACCAATCATTTCTCAATTGCAACCTGATTTTTATCTCCTTCACTATCCATGAAAAGATCTTACATGGCAATCTAGTGTCTCAAATGCCATACTCTACCAATAACCTTTATTTCTTCTTTGACTTGTATTTAGCATTTCATACTACTGTTCTCCACATCCTTAAAATTTTGTCTTCAATACACTAAGTGAAATAAGAAGGTCAGAAAAGGACAAATATTGTATGATTTCACTTATATAAAGTACCGAGACCAGTTAAATTCACAGAAACAAAGTAGAATGGTGGTTGCCAGGGACTGCTGGGAGAGGGGAATGAGGAATTACTGTTTATTTAATAATAGGTACAGAGTTTCTGCTGGGGAAGAAGAAAAGGTTCCTAAGATGACTGGTGGTGACAGCTGCATAAGAATGTAAATGTACTTAATGCCACAGAACTATACACTTAAAAATGGTGAAATGGTTAAATGTTACTGTATATTTCACCACAAAAAATAAAATTTAAAATTCTATCAGCTCCCATAATTCTTTTCTTACACTTGGAATATTCCTTCGCAGACTCTTTTGTGAGCTGTTTCTACAGAATACCTCATATGCTAGTATTCTTCTGGGTAGTGTCTTTAATTTAAACAATTCCCTTGAATACTGTTATCTATACCCATGACTTGAACTACTATTTTCATGCTTAAGTCTTCTAAATCTATATTCTAGCCTCATGTCTTTGCACTTACATATCCTACTGCATCCTAAATTGCTCCTTATGAAAGTGCCCCCCCACAAACACAGGAACCTGAAACACAACCTGAAAGCATTCTCCTCTCCATACATATCCACTCTCTCTCCAATATTCCCTATCTTAGTGCTACCAAACACCTAGCAATTAAGGGTTGGCAAACTTTTTCTGTAAAGGGCCAAACATTAAATATGTTTACATGTCCATACATACTGTCAAAACTATTTGGGGCGCCTGGATGGCTCAGTTGGTTAAGTGTTCAACTCTTGATTTTGGCTCAGGTCATCATCACGCAGTTCGTGGGATCAAGCCCTGGGTCAGGCTCCGCATTGAGCATGAAGCCTGCTTGAGATTCTCTCTCTCTCTCTCTCTCTCTCTCTCTCTCACTGTCCCTCCCCTCCCTTGCTCCCTCTCTCCCTCTCTCTCTCAAAATAAATAAATTAACATTTTAAAAATATTAAAACTATTCATCTGCCGTTGCAGTATGAAAGCCAGCCATAGACATATGTTAATGGATGAGTATGACTGCATTAAAAAAAAACTTTATTTCTAGACAAAGAGGTTTGAATTTCATATAATTTCCACATTTAACAAAATATTATTATTTGGATTTTTTTCAAATCACTGAAAACATAAAAACTATTCTTGGCACATGGACCATAAAAAACAGAAAGCAGGCCAGATTTGACTCAAAGATTTTAGTATGCCAAACCTGAGAAGCTTAAAACTTGGATAATCAGTCTTGATGCTGCCTTCTCCTTTATCTACCATATTTCATTTAATAAGATTGATCATGTTATTTTTACTTTGTGGATCTCTTCAATCTACTTTTTTTTTTTTTTTTTAAGTAGGCTCCATACTCAATGTGGGGCTTAAATCCACAACCCTGAGAGCAAGAGTCGGATGTTCTACCAACTGAGAGCCAGCCAGGTGTCCCTCTAATCTACTTTCTATTTCTTCTGTCAGTATCATAGTTCAGTCCACCAATTTAACTTTGGAAAAAATAATCTCATAACTAAATTATCTACATTAAACACTAACCCCATAAAACTTGTCCTCCTCAAGTTCTGCCAAAGACATCTTTCATATAAACAGGACCATGTAAACTGACCTGTTTGCAAATCTTCAACAATGTCTAAACTATAACATCCTAGGTCCTTAACACTGTATATAAAAACCATCATGACCTGGCCCCTACAGACCTTTTCATCTTTGTGTCCTACTACTCCCAACCTCATATTTCATGGTTTAACAATACACTGTACTCCTATCTCTGTGTCTTTCCAAGTGACAGTCTGCCAGTACGGAATGAAACCCACTAGATGCTTAGTGAAGTGATTCATTCTAGAAGACCTCAGGTACTGCCTCCGCTTTAAAGCTCTTTACCCCTTGTCCCCATAAGCAGTAGTTGTTTGGGCTTCCACATTTCTTCAATACTTCAAACATCTCTCATGCAAGTCACATTTCATTACTGGCTTAGATGTCCTTCTACCCCACTAAAATAGAGGTGCTTACTCTGATTTCTCTAGTACCATGCCCTGGTCATAGATGGCAAACAAATATTTAAAATCCAATATAACTAATTCAACACTCCACAAGTTAAGACACACCAACAGTGGTAAACACAAGTCCTTTCATAAAACCTGTTTGCAGTTTCACACATCATGACACCATTTCTTATGTGCTTTCCATTACATCTGTTAACCCCTTTACCTAGAATATCCTCTCCCACCCTTCCTAGTTACCCAAAAAACCAGGTAGTATTTATGGAACCTCTAAGGTTAATTTTAGGCATTACATCCTCTAAATGATCCACTTAGGACTCCAACACTGGTTTAGACATATCAAGATCATTATACTAAACATTTTACAGTAATTATTTATGTTCATGTCTACAGCTTGAAAATGCACTAGTTTTATCTCTGCAGCCCTAGTACCTAGTATAATGCCTAGTATAAAATAGCTGTATGATAAATAGTTGTGAAATTAAAGACAAAAACAGTATCTAATTTATCTTTTCATCTTTAGTTCCCATCACACTAATCAAAAAATGGAGATTCTAACTGCTGATATTTATAGGTCCCTACTAGTTCTAGCAACACAGTTGGATTTTATATATTTCCATTGTTTCTTTTCTATATTTCTAATATAAAGTTTAGTTTTAAATGCTTTATGATCAATAATTTTATCAGCATTTAACGTTAATGAAAGCCAACACACAGTTAAAATGACAATGTTCATGGTTTCAGATTCAGTATTTTTAACATTCTGTATACACACCTAACAAAGTATCTAAATTTCAAATTCTAAAGTCATTAAAACAAATACAATCACTCAATAAAGTTGAATAGATTATAATACCGCTTCCATTTTTAGACTTCTTCTGTCCTGGTTTCTTCTTTGAGGCAGCTGCTTCAGAAGGGGGGGTGGGCTGCTTAGTAACTGGGACAGGTTCTACTTTTTTGCCTGGAATCTTTGACACATCACTTTCTTTGGTGACCTGTTCTTCTAGTACAGGCTTGTGTTTCTTTTCCTTCTTCTTTCTTTCTCTGACACTGCCTGACGTTTCAACTGCACTCAGTGGAACAGGTACAACTTGCTCCTCTTCTACAGCCAAGGCGTCAGATAACGTAAAGTCCCGGGGAACACTCTCAGAGTCAGATTCATGGAGGTTCCCATTCTGGATTTCTTTCTTCTTATTCTTTTTCTTCTCTGCCTTCTTTTTATCTGTTTTGGTAGGAATAAGCTTTTGTTCTCTTTTCTGCTTTGCAAGAACTTCATCATACAATGTTTCTTTCATGAAAAGCCAGAAGAAGAGGAAAATTACTGTAATAACTACTGAAGGAATAAGGACAATAAAATATGTTGATTCATAAAACTCCATGGTGCTTGTGTTAATGTGATCCTATAAAACCTAAAAGGGAGAGAGGGGAACAAAACCTTGAGTCATTGTTACAAACATTAAACACAAAACCTCTGCTCTTTCAAGTAGTATTTCAGATCTAACCTGATGTACAAAATCTAAGCAGGTCATAGCTGTTTAAATTACATACTTAATTATTTTTCCATTTGCAATTCAAATATACTATAAAATAAAAATGTGTGGTAATAATTGTAATACATCCTCTATTTTTAAACCATATGAAAAGATCCTCATGAGAGGAAAATAACTCTAGACACCCATTACTTTTTTTCCCCAAATATCAACTTTTGAATTTTATTATTATTTACCTTTTTTCCTTTTATTGCACATGTTGACCAATACTACTATATGTGGAAACAGAAGCATCAACTATTAACAAAACACTGGATATTCATTAAAAGTACTATAACTTTTGGGGCCCCTGGGTGAGTCGGTTAAGGGTCTGATTCTTCATTTCATCTCAAGTTATGATCTCACGGTTCAGGAGTTTGAGCCCTGCACTGGGCTCCGTGCTGTCAGAGTAGAGCCTGCTGGAATTTTCTCTCCCTCTCTCTCTGCCCCTCCCCTGATTGCGTGCTCTCTCAAAAAAAAAAAAAAAAAAGTACCATACTTTTAATTGCAGAGAGAGAGAGAAAGGTGGTTCATTCCTTCATTTAGAGATTTCAGCCCATTCACCAACTGCTAGTACCTTTATTCCAACAACTAATAGCCTCATGATATAAGTAGGATACATCACAGATACAAGAACATAATACAGTCAAATCAAAATGTTAGGCTGTGCCATTTGGTATTAAAATAAATTACAAATTAGATGCTTTTCTTGATTTTTTTTTTCAGGGCACCCCTTACTACAAACTAAATTATACAGCAAAAACAAATCTGGCTATCATAATCTTTCCCAAATGCTAAAAGATAAAAGAGAGGCCTTGCCTCATTAACGGAGTATCAGTTCTACTTTTAGATTAACCCAACAGTTATAGAAAACAAAGGTATGGTCTGATTACCCAGATCTGCCTTGAACATAGACACTATAATCCCTCATCTGAAGGGTAGTCACAGCTAAAATTAAACCTCAAAGTAAGAATGATTCTGATGTTTAGGCTTAGATATCAATATTCCTAAAAATATTTATAAGCCACATAACTATGGCTTGTATCTTCATAACTCTTATCACATTTGTTGTGGGAAAAGGCAAGGTATGTAATGCAGATGAAATTAAACCTGTGGACATGTTTAAGGTAAAGCTATGAAAATTCTACTTTTGCACTATTGATGTGTAAATGAATCTGAGAATCTTAAGTTCTTAAATTATCCATCTGAAGTCTCAAAAACAGGTAATGATTAAAGACACAAAATTCCACCTAAACAGAATCATTCTGAGAAGTATTTAAGACCTTAGAAAACAGTGGCTTTAAAGCTGAATAAATCTGAGTTTAATGAATGTAAGACTTCACCAGAAGCATTTGAATAGGACTCATGAGTTTTCCAAGACAAAATAAAGCTATTCACAGTCTCTGTTAACTGCCAAGACAGACAGACCTAGAAATCTTTTGTTGATAACCTAACAAACTTGAACTTGTTTAGTTTAATTCTGTCTTTCAACTTCCTTGTATCTCATTTAAAAATGTGGAGTATACTTTTTTCAAGGTATACCAGCAATGACTTAAGTCTGGAAATAGTGAGAAATGGAACCTGAAAACAAAGCTGTTTATTAGGCACACTCTTGATATTTATGATTAAAACAAGCATTTGTTACCATTTCACACTTCTCTAAGCAAATTTTTAATGGTGTTAACACAACCCTAGACTTACTTAGATAAGGTTTTAAGAATCTCATTCTCTACTGACTGAGCTAGCCAGGCAGTTAGATAAGGTTTTAAAAGGTTGAAGGGGAACAGGAATCCCATGCTAACAAAATGTTAACAGAAATTTTACACAGAATTGTTCTTCCCTGATAATTCATGAACTCTCCAGGTTTTTAACTGATAAGATTTATTTTACTGTGTCTAAGTGTTACTTGTCAACCAGAAATGCTTCCAAAGAGCAGGGTTTTTTGTTTTGTTTTTTTTAATTTTTTTTAATGACTTATTTATTTCTGAGAGAGAGAGAGAGAGGCAGCGTGAGCAGGGGAGGGTCAGAGAGAGAGGGAGACACAGAATCTGAATCAGGCTCCATGTCAGCACAGAGCCCGACGCGGGGCTCGAACTCACAAACTGTGAGATCGTGACCTGAGCTCAAGTCGGACACTTAACCGACTGAGCCACCCAGGCACCCCGGGTTTTTTGTTTTAACATTACTGTCCACAGGCTACATGCAGCCTGTCCAAGTAGCTCGGGAGGTAGGGAGAAAAAAACAAAACAGTGAGTTAAAACTTGGATTTTTGCTTTGGGGAAGAAAAGCCGCAAAGGCATTTACCAGCAGCCACAGATGTTGGGGGCGGGGGGGATGTCAAGTCAAAGTTAGAAAGACCTTGAACAGCAAACTGCAGTCATGTGCAGCCTAGGTCTCAGGAGAGCAAAATCTATGATTTAAAGCAAGAAATAAACGTTCAGAGAAAAGAGCCCATCAGACTACAAGAACTTTATAACACAGAGTCTTCAAATGTTGTGATGATTTTCTAGTTCCCTCTTCCAGGTCTCATAAAAGCCTGGAAGGGGAATCATGATTCCCATCTCTGGATTTTTAGAAGATTCATTTCACGTAATTCAATTCCCCTTCTCTTGAACTTGCTTTCTGCATCTAGAGAAGCCTAACCAGAACACCAAGACAAACTTAAAGTCAAGAAAATGCTTGTAATTTTTTTTCTTTTAATTTTTTTAATGTCTTATTTATTTCTGAGAGAGAGAGAGCGAGAGAGCAAGCAGGGGAAAGTCAGAGAGAGAGAGGCAGACACAGAACCCGAAACCGGCTCCAGGCTCTGAGCTAGCTGTCAGCACAGAGCCCAATGCAAGGCTCTAACCCACGAACTGTGAGATCATGACCTGAGCCGAAGTCGGACACTCAACCGACTGAGCCACCCAGGTGCCCCAATGTTTGTAATTCTTTAATCCAACAATCCTGATTTTTTTTAATCCAAGAAATCTGAAAGGAAAAGCAGCACATATAAAGATGTTCACAGCAACATTATATATAACATGAAAAACAGACATAAAATATCCACCATCAGAATGGGTTCAATTAGCAAACACCAACACAACAAAATATTGCTATTAAAATTGCAAAAACCAAAAAAGCCTGTAATAAGACTTCTTGTCAATTCAACATAGCCAAATATTCAAAAATTATAATTTTACTTGTATGACCAAAACATTTTATGTATAATAGGCCATATCAGGATAATTATATAAAGAAGTATATCAGGGGTCCTAGGTGGCTGAGTCGGTTAAGTGTCCGACTCCTGATTTCGGCTCAGATCATGATCTCATAGTTCAGAAATTCGAGTCCTGCATCACGTTCTGTGCGGACTGTGGAGCCTGCTTGAGATTTTCTCTACCTTTCCCCCCTCCTGTGCAAATGTACACACCTCCTTCTCTATCTCCCCCTCTAAAAAAAATAAAGAGCTGTGCTAGAATCACAGGTGCAGTCTCATCTGCCTTAATATTTTAGTTTTACACTTTGTTATTCTTAAGAGATATTCATAAAATGTTTAATTCTTTGCTTAATTCAAAAAATGGCAAAATAAGTATTACAATATCAATTATAAACCATAGCTTCACATTATACTCATGGATGAAAAGAGGCAAAAGGGACTGGAATAAAATCCAGAAAAATACAGAGAAGAACAAAGAGAGCAAGAGATTTTACTTTACGTGGGGCAGGGGAAGACCATGAAAAAATAAAAGGAAAGGGTAGGAAAGGATGAGACAAAGTTAATTTAGCTGAAGGTGAAAGGAATCAGGTTGCTAACATTTTCCAGTCCACAATATACAAGTCAACATATGTTTGTTGATATAACATGTAGACAATTACAATTAGCTCAGGTTTTGAGATGACAGCAAAAGTCACCAACATTAATTTCTTCCATATTCCCTTTGTAATATTAATGAGCTTTTAACCTAATCATATCTTCACCTTAGCAATCAGATTCCAATTGGAATGTAATTAACAGCCCAAGGTGGACAAGTAAAGCAGGAGTGAGATATTCATGGAATCATAAGAAACAAATTTATACCAGCAACTTTAATCTTTTACTTAGACATAAATCCTTCAAGAAATTGACAAAAGACTAATCAACTTTCTCAAAACTAAAGTGTACATACTAAGGTGTAACATATAACTTCAAAAGGTTTCTGGACTCCCTAAAGGCTGTGCATGGATCCCACATTTAAAATCCTGCTCCAGAGTAAGAGAGGAGTTTTCACCCCTGCCCTACAGATAAAGAAATTAAAAAAAAAAAAAAAAAAGTTAACAGGATAGAGAAACAATATATAAAAATTGTTTCATCTGATCATGTATTATGATTCTGTGTTTCAAGTGAGTATGTATTACAAATGCTAATCAAATAATTTTTAAGATTCCATGTACTTATCTTCTTATACGTTAATTTGTTCATACAAAAATTGGGCTGCATTACTCAGTTAAATCTTGTAAACTTCTCAAGAGGCTCAACAACCTTTTAATATTAATAATGTAAAACCTAAAATTTTAAATGATATACAAATAAAATCTAGTAGTAAATACTACAATTTCAACCAAACTGCTTAGTCAAAAATGATATAACTAGACATGATAATAGACTAATTATCTAAGTGCAGGACATCTACAGAAACATCATACATTTAAACATCACACCATTATAGGGGCACCTGGCTGGCTCAGTCAATAGAGCATGTGACTCTTCATCTCAGGGTTCTAAGTTCAAGCCCCATTTTGGGTGTAGAGATCACTTAAAAATAAAAAATCTTGGGGCACCTGCGTGGCTCAAGTCAGTTAAGCATCCAACTTCGGGGCTCAGGTCATGATTTCATGATTGATGAATTCGAGCCCCACAT